TTGGTGTTGGGGAAAAATGTTAATAAACTGTCAACAAACAAAATCGTCAACAAACCCTTCATAGTTCCTGTGAAAAAGGCGGAGGTGTGCCATGGTTGCTATAGGACCATTTCAATCACCGATGCAGATGTGAAGCCTCGTTAGAATGTTCTTTTATTCAAAAGATTGAATTTATTCTCGACAAAGGTGAAAAACTGGGTTTGATTTCTCCCTCATTGTTGAATTTCCTCAATACCAAAGGCGATGCAGCATAGGTAGAAGCGTGGTTTGTGGGAGTACAGCGACACATGCCAGTAAGGCGAACAAATTCACGTCTGACGTATTAAAACATGGAACAAAACAGATGCGCCCTGTCGTCCCTGAAAACGGTATAGAGACACCAGAATTTGGTAAACATTACTTTACATCCGTTTCCAAGTATTGCAGTATGAGTTCCGTACAATCATTGTTGTTCTCACACCACCCTTTCCTGTCAGGTCCCCCTGGGTCTGTGAACATTCGGGCCTGATTAAACTACTTCAGTGTCTGACATCACCGCCATTCACAGCGCCATTTTCGCCCATGCTTTATGAGTTTCTCTGGGATCAAATTATGCCAGGGTGCACTTTTCACGATCTCAATATTACCACTCCAGGCTTCAATTCCCGGCTTTTTAAGTGCATAACTTTGGTCATTTGGCACAAGGCAAATTGAAACAGCGTCTGATGAGGCACCCGGCCGCCAGCAAGGTGGAGGTTATTCCCATGTCATTATTTCGGGGACTCAGAGCGCTCCGACCTCTTGCTCGCTCGCATATTGGAAATCGGCAAGATGTTATCAGAGAATTACAGACTTCGCCGGAGGAGAAGGAAACGGCATCAGCCCACAATTTAGTCTGATTATGGAAAGCACTCCAAAAGAGGTCGTTACGGATGTGATGAGGCCTCTTCTTGAAAATAGCCTACGCCTTTGCTGTACACCAGACATCGCATAAATTACCAGTTCTGATTGGGGTAACTTAATTCGCTTGTATCATGAAGCCAGTTTCCTGGTCCATAAGAATTCACTACAGTACTGAGGTAATAAGCCATTTGCGAGTTAAATTTGAATAAAATCTGGTGCACTGAGTTATCTGACTGCACATAAACATAACAATTTGCATTTCCCAGACTAAAAACGCTGTTGCTATACCTCGTGATTCGGGGCAAGCTTTTGCTTAGCGACCACCATCTCTGGAATGGACTGGTTCCTTTGTGCCCTTCTTTTCCATTGAGAACAGTGTATTGTTGCAAGGCGTCTATGTTATTAAGAAAAAGCTTGCCCCAAATCACGAGGTATAGCAACAGTGGCAAGCGTTACGGTCGTTACGGTCGTAACGCTACCAACAAAAATGAGTACTTCCGACCAATGCGGCTCTTTTCTTCCGATAAGGGGGTGCTTCTGCTCAGGGCAGATCAATTATTATTGCTTGGGGGAATCTAAACATAAATACTTATTTTCTGAACAATATCAGTATAGGCACTCGGAAGCCCGACCACCCAAAACAACCGCAGGAATTGCCGGTTCCATAATACCTCACGCTTTAACGGCACACCTCGTGGTTCAATCAATAATGCTGACGTGCAAAAAGCACGGGTTTCGTACGCAAGGCAAGGGGGCATCACCCGCCCGTCAACTGGTTGAACAAGATGAGAGGAGATGGTCCAGTTTTTGATTAAAGAGAAACTGTCAAAGGGTGCATGTCCACAGTTCTTCGGGGTGATTGGCGGCGTCTAGCAAAATAAATCATAAGTTTTCTACACAAACTGCCCTTCATGCATGGAGCAAATGATTTGGAAACCCGATTGCGTGTTTGTCTTCAATTTTGCACAATACACACGAAGTAATGACAAAGTTTAAAGCAGCCTCAAGTAATTCCGCCATCGTGTTATTGCCGCATCGAAATCAATCGATTTTCTTGCGAACAACCTCTACCATCCTCCAAATTGAGCCTTTTATCGCTTCGGCTGCATGTGACCCAATAAAAAGTAATGGGCCGCAATCCAAGGCACGATGTCGTGCATGGCTGATATATCAAATTGGCAAACTCCATTTCACCATGGGTGAGAAAGCTATGAAATATTCATAAGCAGCATCAGCTTGCCTGAGGAAAGAGATGCCTCGAAGAAGGGCTGAGAAAGAGCATGAAAAATTATCCGTTTCTCCAGCTCTGTTTGCGCGTAAAGAGTTCTGTATGGTGTTCAAAGTCGACATCCACTCTGCACCTGTTTCAAGTTTCCCTGCGTGAAACCGAATCGTGCGGGTAAGAAAAACCCCGACACTAGACACTGCCCGACGGGGACTCTTTGTGTAGATGAGGAGAAATCACCATGGTAACGACACGTTTCCAGGGCAACGGGCTAGGCGTTTCTATGTACAGGACAGTAAATGGATGTGTTTTCGCGATTCTCTCTCTCTCTTCCTCGGTGTTCATCCCCTGCGTGCCGAGCTTGTCAAATGTGGGTACTTTTTGGTCTTCACGATTGACAAGTGGTCAATATGCTCAGGTGATCTCTGCTTTGGTGTTGCGCCGAGGTCGGGTGACAGCACCTGCCTTGTCATTTACAACGGGCTGGGGGATAGTGTTCCGTGGCCGGTGTATACGCGGGAATGAAATATGTACAAGTCAGGTTCAACATTATGCACTTTTGCTCGTGTGATACAACAGCGATCACATGATCATACGTGCTTCAGTAACTATACGCTTTGATCAAAATTTTGCGTGTGTCACACTTCAAACTTATATTTCATTCTGAGTAACGGCCATTATAGCAGCCACGCTAGAATGACCTTATCCTGAATTTCATGATTAAAGGGTTCCATTGCGTATCTTTCAAATTAGCAATGAAACAATTTGGCTACATGTACTATCATAAACCACATTGACGAGGAAGTGATATCGACAGAAAAACTGTACCGTCCATATTTCCCTCTACATAAAAGGGCAACTTGGCTGCACCCGTTGAAGTTTACCCGAGGTGTCATTTTCAACGACATTTAAACAGCAGTAGCACGCATAGCTTCAGTGGACAATGCTGACACTAAAGGGGTATTATTCTAATTCTGGCATTGACGTTTTGTTACCAAAGTGAGATGGTTTCTGTATACCATGCCCGATAATCATCCTGGCATCATGGAATAGTGAATTAAATAATGCACACTCTTGAACTCTACGTCACAGGGCACTGAAGCACTGCTCCCATCATCCATAATTACCATTTGAATTATGGTCTTGCCAAATGCAAATGTCTCTTCAATAGTAATTGACATGTGCGTGTGTTCACAATTTTTGACAGTGAAAGTCGAGCGCCTGACCTTGCTTCACATGTCATGAGTCGTAAGCCGCCTCGAGTAGATACATCAATTGCAATGAGGGGAACTGACTAGCCTGATGTCTTTATAAATTTAATTTAAAAAAAACACGCCTTTGACTGCCAATGGAAGCAAGCGTTTGGACAATGTGACGAATTCTTGAACTGAAAGGTACATAGTCAAGGATGTCGATTGGTCGATGGCTGTCGGCTGACACTGTCACCAATGATTAAAATATGAATCGTCCTCCACGGGCGATAGAAATTACTCTCGGTCGCTTCATGCCAATTAGGAGACCAGGAGATAAACAGCAGCCCGGATGAGCCTTACTTGCTCCGAACAGACCTTGCTTATACCTGCTTGTTGCTTCCATGATTATTGCGAGAATGCCTGTAATAATTAATGCATGTACGGTCGTATTTTTAGGCATTACCCAGGGAATAGAGAAGTACATTCAAACGTGAAGACAAAAAAAAAAAAAACTGTTGTGGTACGTCTCAGCAAACAAAAGTAATGGACCTTGCCATGAAATATGCAAATTGGAAAGGCGCATGCGCGCTACAACCAATGGTTGGCAAGCGCAGCCGTCAGGGCCCTCAAGACTGTCGGCTGTATATAGGAGAACTGCTGCATTACCTGGTGCGTCGAAGGTCCACCAATATCGTATTACAGTACATTTCAGATAAGTCAGCACACTTTCTCGAAACTAAATGAAGTTGCCAGTGTTCTGAGGTTGGACAGTAACAATGCCTTGTCTTTAAATACGGTACTCATGTCAAACTATACTTGTACAGAAAGGGCGTGTATGTGCTCATACTTGCGCGCCATTGGAGATTTGTGTTGTTACGTCATTGATGTAAGTAACTTTGCCAACCAGTGGCAGTAAGGCATATGCGCCTGCCTTATTTGCATATTTCATGGTAATGGTCCATTGTCTTTGTTTTCAACTCGGGATGCCTCGTAATGAGGACTGGCAGAGTTCAACCATTCCGACTAAAGTACAGCAACGTGATCGCGGCTAATCCAGTAGGTCGCTACACGGGACGAGAATACGGTCAAGAATATTGGTCTCTGAATCGTCAAAAACCTGAATATCCATTTTTCATCCCACGCAGACTATTTCATGTTTTGGTCAGGATTCAGAAGTTCGTAAAGTATTTTGTTATCAGGCATGTACGCAAACTATGAATTGAGCGTACCACTTTTGGGAACCACACTTTGCTTCCTTGGGGATCTGTCACCCCTAAATGTTTACTCTCAAGCCTATAGCAGATGTCACATGAACAGCATGAATAGAAAATACCGTGTTGGAGAACATAAAGATATAGTGTATTTCGTACTGAAATGACTGCAGCATGCAGATAAGGGCTACTTCAGATTCCTTCAAGAAATCTTGACTAATGTATGGCAGAAGTCGATAAGCAGAATCTTCGTTTACATATTCCTCGATTTATTCCAGTGAAACGAGACGTTATGAAGTTTCAGATGGGTCATCGACGGCCTGACTTCCCGACTATCCAAATATGACCGGCAAGATTACTTAGATTCTCCTAACAGAAATTCACTGCAGACGACCAACGGTTGCATTAATGATCTAAGTTGCCCTGTCTTTAAGAACTTGATCAAGGGCTGACTTTCTTCTAAACATAAAACTTGTCATTGCCACTTACTATATCGATGAAATCCCTGAAGAAGAACTCTAACTCGTTTCCCTCGATGTAACCATTTCCTTTCGAACGAAAAAAGAGAAACAATGAAAACGTTTTTTCTAGTTCTAGCAGACTTGTTAAACAATTAAAACTGGATAACAGTAAACAATTATTTATTTCTAAATGTGTCAGCCTCTTTGTGAATATAATGCAGTTAAAACACCATCCACGTCACTCTGTAAATATACTCAATAAAGCACCACACTAGCAGGCTAAGGCGATATAGTTAAATGCAGTTCAGAGAAATGCAAACAATTATTGTTTTTAAAAATCCAGGTACAGTTATATAAAAAAAGATCGAGTCATTCAAACCTGAATAATATATCGTGAAATATTGGTCATAATCAATGAAACATGACCAATAAATCGTACACTTAGCCTTTACCAATTACATAAACCTCCATTCAAATTCGGCTAATATTAATATAGTGTCAGTTGGTGTATTAATTTTCCGCTATTCACGCTGCTTTTATGTCGACAGTCACACATTTCCTGCAAGGTTTTCTTGTTTACACTGGTGTAAACTTCTTCTGAAGAATCCCTAAGGACAGCGTTACATATTTACTATTCGAAAAACATTACAAGTCGTCGGATATTAGGCTTGCTGAAAACACTCTTGAGCTAAATGTCTTCAAGTCGAGGCCGCCCAAAAGGCATAGATTAAAAATATATACTTTCAGTAAGTTTCACTAAAGTGCCAAAAGCATGCATACCACAGCTGGGTTTTCCATCCGGCAGATAATACAGCGAGTAATAAGAGCAGCTTCCTTGGTGGATATTTCGGAAAAAGGGGATGAGTTTTCACTGGATGTAAAACAATTTTCGTTCTCTTATTGTCGATTTTGCTATTTCTTGCTGCCTGAAAGTATAGTGTTTCTTTTTAACAAAAGGTGAATTCAAGCAATTCCCGTCTACGACGTGCAAATAAAAAAAAACGGATGATGAATCGTGGAAGCTACTGAATGACCGATTTTTGGAAAGTTCAGGAAATGAAGCAGACAGCATCAAGCTCGATCATGTTAAAGTGAAAGAAAGGGGGATATACAATGCAGCAAAACAAAAAACAAACAAACAAAAACAAACAAACAAACAAACAAAAAACCGCCTGTGGAGCCTTGAGTTGCATTATGCATAACACCCACCTGTTCATTACAACTGCCGACAACCCCCGATAAAGCCTGAGCGATTCGGGCGCAAACTTTCGATGAAACACACTTACCGTCTCGATCGTACTTGTGCCATGCCTCCGCAAATTCGTCAGCCGTCAAGTTCTCGCACTTCACCCTGAACTTGGCCAAGCAGGCATCCTTTTCTCCGCTGTCAGCCATGTTCCGTTCTTTTCTCTAACCGGCTGTTTTTCTAAAGAGCGGTGTAATTCGTACAGATTGGCCCTTCTGTCCTCGGAATTACCCGTATTCAGAGATAACGGCGATCACACCTGTGTCGCTAAATATCTCCCAGTCTTACGAGTGCGCAGTGACCACGACAGTATGCTGTAACAGAGAATTGGCAATGCAGCCTACCCTCCCTGTATGATATTATCGTCCGTATCCTGACTTGCTGATTGCGCCCGGTGTTGGAAATGTAATGCGCGCAATCGACAGTCCCCGGGAATCGCCCACGAAAAGCCTCGCCAGCGTGAGAAGCAAAATACGCATGCGTCGCTAAACAGCAAGGGACACTCCCATACTTCGCTTATGTTGTCATTATTTACGGCAATGTATAAAGGCTTTAAGGAGTGTTATATGAGAACCCTTGGCACATTTAGGGACTACATGTATAATTGCAAGATAGCTGGGGAAGGCTAGGAAATCCAGATTCATGTTATTCTTTTTTCTTCTTCTTCTTTCTATGTTAAAACACAAAACAAACATAAATTAGAAAGTAAAAGCACGAGATTAAGGACATTGGTGGGCCAAGAAAAAGATGTAAAAAAAATGGTCACCATTCATATACATTTGAAATGCTTCCATAGGGTCTACACAATTGGAATTTAAATTTCCATTTTTTATAATGATGACTGAGGGTTTGATTTTTCATAGCAATCTTATGTTCTATATCGTACTAATCAATGATTATGTAACAATAATCTTAACCTCAAAAAGGAAGGAAAGTTTTATGTTATTCTTGCTTTTGCTAAAATATGTTTACAATTAGTAAATGTTAGTGCTTGTTGAACGACAAGCCTCGGATCTGTATTCATCTTTCCTTTCTTTTTTGCTGTTTTTTTTTCCAACTAACTCGCATAACCATTCAAAACTGAGCCTTTTTGTACTCTGTCTTGCGTCGAAATGCATACAAACAACCGTACTGGGAATGATGAAATCCGCTTATACGCGTAAGGCGCCACACGTACATGTATAGCGTTGCTCATTATCAACTCGTATCTGCCAAGGTCTGTTTAACGGCCAAACACGGGTGAACACGTAATGAGCCAAACCCTGCAAGCATTAACGGGCAGTGGCATCGGTCTGAGTGACACGAAAAAGACACTACCATTCAAAATTATTGGTAGAGCAGCTGTGGTTCGTATGGACTTCCCCCGTTTTCCAAGGGGGGGGGAGGCGCTACATTCCAGGTTTATGTGCCAAGGGATGTTAATGAGGTGGTATTTTCTACAGTGAAAACAAGCCAATAAGCCAGGAAAATGCTACTGCATAGCTAATAATGGAATGTGGCCGTCAGCTGAACATAACGTTGCTTGAAAGTGGTTCATGTTTTGTACATCTGAAAATACAAAGCGATACAACTATCATTCGGATTTTGCGTTCCATAAAAAGAGTAGGCCTTCTAGGATTTTGTTTGAACGTTTGAACTTTTTTTTTTCAAGAATGAGCGTATACAGCTTGACAATAGTTTGAATAACATCGGTCGACTATAAGAACTCCCCACTGTTTAAAGCGAATGATAATTAGGGGCCCAAGTAGAAATTAATGAACTAATTGTTGTTTATGGGCAGGGGGCATAGGCTTAGATGGCTCGAAATGGCGCGACAACCTGTGTAATATGCACGTGCCAAACAAATTGGTGAGCCTACAAAATGAGTGAATATTGTGATGGGGTAGGCCTTGTGCTCCATTAGCTGATGATCTGCGCTTTAAAATGTACATAAAATAAATAATTGATGCTGATCAAGCCATTATGCCAATTACGAGTAGGCCTACAATGGGTCGGTCCTTCCAGTCTATAATAAGTATGAAACTTCAAGTTTAAATTTATGTTTACAAACCAAAATACAAATTCTTCGGTCTTTTCGCACTGGTACCAAAGCCCTGTAGTGCAATCACGTATATTTTTTCTAAAATTGAAGCATATGTTTTGAAAGCTCGTTTTATGGAAGTATTTTTTGACTTTGTTTTTAAGAGGAATGCTTTTCCTAGTTTTTAGGGGCAGCGGTAAATTTTTCCAAGTAAATTAAAACCAACTCCGAAAAGATGTACGGTAACTCATAAAAAGGAACTTTAAAAAAATATCTCATAAAAACGAATTTGGAAAAACATATCCCGTAAAACCTATATTTCTTTCAAAAAATAGAATCAATGCCTCTAAATATAGGTCTCATAAAAACGAACTGGAGAGTATAAGTCTCGAACAAATGAACTTTGTGAAAAAATACTTCACATTTTAAAAATACATGTACAGACTTACAAGCACGACAGGATGATAAATCACTTAAATTACACTAAAACATTTTAGTGGTAGAATCATCGATAGAATACTAGCGTTCCTCTATTGAGATAACAGATCTTTGAGTTAGCAGTCCAGTATTCCAGATACTAATCCAGAAGTCCAGTATTTGCGCCCTTGGCCGTGCAGACAGCATTTTTACCACGTGACAATCGATAGCGTATCCAGCTTTTGTTGTCATATGAATTTCTTAGCACAACTTAAGCGACAAGCACCCGCTTGGAAGCGGAAATCCGTAAGAACACCTCCAAAAACAGCACTGTTTTCTTTTTAAATGCATAAATTTGGAACGCTCAGTGTTTTCAATTTTGTTCTTTTGGCAAGTTGAATGTTTATTATTCTTCTTTCTAATAGTATAAAAATGTTATTTTTGAATGACTTTAAAGACCCGTCAATTTTCAAGTAGGTTGTCGGTATCTGTATTTTTACAGCAGGGCCCGCACAGAACCGTACGGGCAGATACCTAGCCCTTGTTGTAGTTTCTTAAGTGTCGAAATTTACTTCAAGGAGTTAATATGGGGGGGGGGGCTTTTTATCATGATGGAGAAACAATATCAAAAGCCTTTACTTATGGTCCCAAAAACCTAGCTTTTGTTTCATGGTGTTGTTTTCTTAGTGTTTCGGTGCTAATACTTGATACATAAATATCAAAATTAAAATTTGATAAAATAAATATTAGAATGAAAATAAAAGTGAAAATATCCGTTAGGGGGGCAAATTCCTGCTTCCCCCCGCTGGATACGCCACTGGTAACAATGTAGACGTTCGTATCTCCTTCCTTTTCTGCGGGATTATGTAAACAGAGAGAGATTTCATTTGTCTGCAACCCTACCAAGAGGAAGAAAATGCCAGGGCGATAGCTGCTACCATGTCGGCAGAAAAATGACACCATCAGCATGTCCAGTGGCAAAAGCACCTCTTGCATTTTACCGACGGGGGGAAATTTCGACTCTCCGAAGCCGGATTCATAATCAGATATCATTTTACACTCTAGACTCCGTACTGCTGCCTGAGAAGAGTCCCTGCATGAATGTATCGACCGATTCCATTGGATAAACATTCATAGTTGAGCAATGAAGAGTTGACATAGAGTCCATTTTCTCCGCAAGACGGATCAGGCACGAAGAGGGGGGAGAAAGACAGTAAGAAACCAGCGTCCAAAGTTCGAGAGGCATGGATTTCTAGTAGACAGTTGGAGTACTATAAAGCCAGAGATGTCTGGAATTGACGGCTTGGACAGGAAGTCTATGGGAAGATAAAGCAAATTTTAAGGACTTCTGAATAAAAAATGGTTAAAATACTGAAAAGCCCCAATGTATAACTACTAAATTAACCCTGAAATGCATAATTACGAACTCAGCTACGACAAACTTCCAGTTTTAACAAAGACACATTTTCGGTCTAGGTGGAAATATTCACAGGTGAATGCAAAAGCGAAGTGAATTTGACATCAACAAAAATTTCCTGCGAAATTTTGCTCAAGTTGAGATGTGTTCAACTTTTGTGAATTCGTAACAAATGCCTTTTGGAACGGACTATTTATACAATAGTTTGTAACTTCTGTCGGTTTCTTCTGTCGGCTATTAAAAAAAGAAAGAAATACAAAAGACCAAACAGACAGCACCCAAATGACGTACTATTAACACCGAATTGCAAATGCATTCTTCCTTCTTCCAATGAAAAAACCCACATAAGTTCGGTAAAACATTAAGACCTCTCGTCAACAATCTCTTAGAATAAGGTAGAATTCACAGCAGACCCAAACTGAAAATATTTTTTCTTAACTTCTTAGGACCCGACTTCCTGACACTGGATCATTCATATCACGAAGGATTATGGGTAAAGGAACTGGCGCAAACCAATTAATTTGTGTACTTGCACGACATACAGTTTGCTGGACGTAATCATCCAATCACATGTACTGTTTTGACATCACCCTTCTAAAACAATCATCTCTTGGGGGCGCTTTATGTAAGCTGGGACCAGAGCCTTTTATATAAAGAGTTGTGACGTGAGTGTGTCAAATGCTGGAGCCCGAATGGTTGATTATGAATCAGTGCACATGGACAATTAGCACATAACGTATCTGTAAGTCAGTAATTTAGATTTCAATACTCTCTCTGTGTGCAGGCCTACGCAAAAGAGAGAGGTTGTGAACTAGATGAGTGGCACTCGTCCCCCCGTACGTACGAGCACCGCCCCATGAGCGATTATATACATGGGGGAAAATTATGAAGACCCAGGAAGAGTCCCTCCTGTCTTAGAGTTGGAATTATTATGCATTTCCAGGAGTATATACGTCAATGATCATCGCATTACAAAACGACAGGATTAACCCCCCACTTATTAAATAAAAAATCAGTCGCAATATTTTGTCACGCTTACATAGCGTCCATTCTTTTGCTGGAATTCCGTTCATCCGTTTTATACTCTCTTATCCCTTGCCAAAAAAGAATTACAAGATTAATCATCTGGTTATATGAACTTTCATATTTTTACCGTAAAAATTTATGTCACATAACATTACACATCCAGTATGACACAAGAGAAAGTGATCAAACTTTGATATCCCATAATTATTATTTGAAGAAGCCCATAAGCTTTGCCTAACAGGATATAACGTTGGCATATTGTTGGAATCATTTCCAAGGGCGGTTTGCTTTAGATCATGACCGAGCTCCAGGCTTGGTAATTAAGCAAGCAAAGGTCAAGGTTGAATAAGTCATATTCCCAGGCTGTAGTCAGTTCGTTACTTTATAGGGTATATGAGCGGATTTTCTAGCTTAATGTAGCGATTTTCAACATGAGAGACCTGGATGGTCTTTTAGTTTAAAGTCAATTGAATGGTTAAACCGTTTAACTTGGCTGGGTTGGTCAACATTTGACCAACATAGCGGAAATTACTGACATATTTGAATGGTTAACGCGTATCACGGTAGTCGTACCTTCATCTTTTTTACGATCTCCTGTAGCAAATGAATGCATGCTGATATCAAAACTCCAAGCACAGAAAGCACTAAAACCTGTTGTCTCTCAAAAGACGCCATTTCTCGCCATTGTGCCAGGCTTTGTTTATGAAACTTAGACGACATGACATGTCCTGTTTCTCGCCACGATATACACCAAGATGAATCTTGACATCACCTACGCGGGCCATGTCAGCATGACACGTTCTATTCCCTTGTGCAGTAGTGCGGTATCAAAGCCACAAATTGACATTAATTGCAAATGAATTTAAATTAGGTCGACAAAAATCTCCTGGTAGTATTATTTATTTTCCATGAATCGACGTCATGATCGAATGAGCAAGAAGGAAAACTGAAGTGCCCACCAGGGTAAGTGTGTTCCACAACGACCTGTTAATTTAGCCTAACTCTTGCACTTCCAAAAGGCTGTAGAATTCAATTAGAATGAACACCCATGTGTGATATGTGACCGAGGTTTCTTATTACCCTTCTCACACCATGGTATCCTTATAGACCTTTTTCACCCATGTGACTAAATGTAAACGACACCACCACGAGTGGACCGCCTTGGCGACGGTGATCGCATATACTCCTACGGGCAGCTTCAACCACGTGCATGCGCCCGTGCGAACGCTGCACGCTTGACTTGACTTGAATAGGTAGATTACCATCACAACACTATGCACTCATTACCATCACACCACATCATAGGTCCAGCACGATCGTGATATCAATGGAAAGAAGTCTATATTGTACGGTGCGCGCAATATGATCATATCCGAATTCAACTGAGAGAGTATGACAACAGCGGAAAAAGCTCCGCCAAAGGACTAAACTAGTGATAGCAAAAATAACACTGACGGGGTGCGAGAATCGCAGTGCTTTTAAAAAAGCCATGTATGAATTCTACCTTTGCGTTCTAGGAGTTGTACTGTGGGAAAGTTACCCGGAGAAAAGACAAATTTCATTAACGACCTTTCACTTCCGGTATAATCGTCCCTATAGGTCTCCTTGTTAATGCACGTTTGCTTTCATTTTCATGTGCTTACATTGCGTTGCGAATATTTACCTACCTACAGTCGATGAGTTCTAAATTCAGTCAAGAATTGTTTAGATTTTAGAGAGATCAATCTTTGCTACGATATTTCTCTTTATTTTTAACATATATTTAAGCCCATTTACTTGCTGCACGTTATTTGTCGTATCCAAGGGTATCAGGGGTCAACTTTGGCTCTATAGTTCTCAAGAATGTCTACCTCTGCCGACGTCTATCTCTAGCTCAC